TTACAGGGAAACTGAGGGACAGGACAAAAGAACTGGTAAGGAAATAAAAGACTGAGTAGGTAACATCTACCAAGATGCATTACTGAATAAGATCATTAAAGAGTATTCAATTTATATATTTTTGAAGTAGGTTTTTCGCACATACAATTCTCTGTATCATGTTTTATTAGTATATGAATTAAGTTTAGTCAAGTCATTTTTTATTCATTTAGAAAAAAAATCTTGATTTTTGTTGTAATTATTACTATTAATTGTCTTTTTATCATTGTCAAATTGTTATTATTGTTATTGTCTATCATTTTCATTAATTTTATTGCTTTAAGTTCTCATATATGAGGTGAACATTATCATAGATCATTGATGAATTAATTTTTATAGTTAGTGAATAAGTATCATTCATTTCTTTTGTCAACAGGAAGCCCAGTCAGCAGAAGTAGAGAACCAGATAGCTCGTGATGGTCTGGAACTCTCCAATGTGAACACCAGAATAGAAAACCTCAAACATATCATGGACGATCTGAATGAGAATATTCGGCAGAAGAACGCAATAATCTCCAGGAGCGAGAATGAAATGATAAAGAGAAACGCCATCATCGAGAGGAAACAGAACCTGATAGATCAATATAACAAGAAGCTTGAAGTGCTCATTTCTAGTGCTGGGGTAGGTGGAGTCAGATTATTGAAAATGTTAAATATTCATTATTCAAATTATTTACCTTTTTTTAACATTTGACATTTGATTATTATGACTAGAATTTTTATGATTGATTTCACATTTTTAAGAAAAAGAATTAGCACAAAAATTAAACATGCAGTGACCAGTCAAGGAGTTAGAAATTTCTATTAACCATCTGTATCTCACCTTCCAGGGTGTTGAGCTTGGTCCTCTGGAGATCCAGATCAACTCTCTGCTCAAGTCCATAGATGCCCAGCAGCAGGAGATAGCAGAGTTGCAGCAGATGTGGCTGAGGCAGCAGAGTGAGCTGGTCAGACTGACCAGGGAGAGAGAGGAACAGTCCTTGGATGTGGAGACCAGGAAAAAACAGCTGGTCATCCTGACACAGAAGAAGATGAGGATTGAAAGTAAGTCATCAGGGGAGCTTAGATGATCAGTTCTTTTGATAGTTTTTTTAATAGACAGCTAGAGATAGAGCTATTTACACCACAATAGAAGTGTCAGGTTATCTCTATCACCAAATTTAATGATTTATTTTTTCTTTGAAACATGAAGCAAGAATTTTTTTTTATTACTGTTGTTTACATTTATTAGTTGGATGAAGTGTTATTAATTTTTATTGTTAGAATAGTAACCTGTTGTTTTAGTTGTAAAGCAGAATGTTGTAGTTTATATTAACTTGAAATTTTAGTGATTTTGTATATTTGATACTGTATAATTGACAAAATTTACTGAAATACTTGAAATACTTTTCTTTGTATCTTATGGTTACAGGTAAACATGTCATTTTGAAATTGCAGGTGAAATTGAGCAAGAGAGACGAGACATTGGTGAGATTGAAAAAGATGTCAGCAACATGCACAATGACATGTTGAAGCTGAATATGTTGCTCCACAAGGAGAAAGGAATGGAAGAACAACTGCACCAGAGTAACGCTCTGATGGAGACGGATTTCATTCTGCAGCTCAAGGTAGGAAGGCTGTCTGTTGTGCACTGAATTCAGATATTAAAAGCCCTTCAAACCAGTGAAACTGGCAGGGTGTAAGACTCTCGGTCATCTTAGTATTTAAGTCATAGAATTTGAATACATTGAATACATTTGCACTTATGAATTTAAATTTGAAGGTAGATATATTTGGACTAATTCAATAAGTGTATGGGGAGATTCTCATTATTATATTTTTGATTTCCAGGAATCAGAGATGAACTCCATACAGATGCAGTCCAAACTGGATGCATTGAAAGAGGAAAAGGAAAGACTGCTCAATTCCCTGGTGGAAGCAGAGTGAGTACTTCTTCAATCTTAGTTATTTCTTTTAATTTTTTTCTTTCTTTATCATATGACATAGAATTGAATTTAAATCCACTAATCTGATGTGTGAATTTGTGTTACATGATTTATTGCCTCTATATGACTCACACAACATACATTCTCTTTGTAAAAAAGGCAAATAAGTTCAATTGACTGAAATAAAGTGATTTCTTACTAATTTGAATGTTGTATTTTCACATTGACATATCATCTATAAATATTAAAGGGAAATAATTAATAACTATTGATGATATGTAACCTCTCCATCCAGGCGTCAGATAATGTTGTGGGAGAAGAAGGCCCAGTTGGCCAAGGAGACCAGAGCTGCTGTGGACTCAGAGGTGGGCCAGGGGGAGATACGTGCAATGAAGGCCGAGATCCACCGCATGCAGGTCCGCTACACACAGCTGATGAAGCAACAGGAGAAGATGATCCAGGAGATGGAGAAGGCTGTGTCCAGGTAGGTGTCCAGGAGTTTTTGTTTTGGAATTCTGTCAGTTTGTGTGTTCAAATGTGGAGTGGGTTTTTTTTAGGTTGTGCTCTGTTGGAAAAAGAAGGTAGGACCTTAGAGCAATGTTTTTGGGAAAATTTTTATTTATAGCAGTTATCAAAAATCAACGTGCAAAGTTTTTTTTTATCTTTCAAAAATGCATTCAATTTATGTCAATTGATATAAATAATTTAAAAAAAAACATGCATGGGAATGATCCTTGATGGAGACTGGCTATCAAAATAATATATCAAATTTTGAAATAACTTTCTATTCCAGGCGTGACACCATCGTCACCAGAGGTGATGCCCAGAGTAAGATGCACAAAAAAGTTCTGACCAAAGGAACATTCCAGAGACAGCTGGCAGAACTGAGGAAGAAAATCAAACAAACTGTGCAGGTAAAGTTTTGCAATATGAAATACATTCCACATAATAGCTTTATGGTCAATTTTTCGTCCTTCTTCTTTTTTATTTTATTCTTCAATTGATGTATCTACATTTTCTCTAATTATTTGTTGAGGTAAGTTATAAAATGTAAAATTAATTATAATGTGCTAATATATTTTCTGCCACATATATCTCTCCAATTCCCATAATTCCAGGATGCGAGTGGCTGTGACCAGGAGATACGCCAGCTGCGTGAACACCAGCAGCAGTTAAGCCAGCAGTTGGAGGACAGACAGACCAACTGCCAACAACTACAAGGCAAAGCAGACGAACTGGATGTGGATGTAGAAAGACTCTACGAACAGAAACAGAAGGTGAAAAATTGTTTGTTTGTTTGTTTGTTTGCTTCAGTTTTGATTCTTTGTAGAGATTGTTTAAATATGATTTCTCAATCACGCCACTTTATTTCAGTGCTTGTAAATGAAAACTGTACAGAAAGAAGTCTCAAATGTAGACCAACGGAAAAGAAAATCCCATGGTTAAACACTGATTGAAGCTGCTAAAATCATATATTCTGGCCTAAAAACATCTTATGTGGTGTTCTGGTTTGAGATGTATCACGTGTGTTAGAATAAAACATTAATTTTTTTCTTCATTCCAGAACTTGAGTGAGCTGCTGTCCAAGCAGCAGAGAGCCAAGTACTACCAGCAGGCCAAGGACGGAAAGTACACCAGGATATGTAAGAGTGACGCCGCCTTGGACAGCGAGCTGGAGAAACAAAAGGAGAGGCTGTATGCTCTGTCTGCCATAGTGGACAGGTTGAACCAGGAGTTCCCTCATGTCCAGCCAGCCCTGAGGAAGGTCACTGTGGCACTGGGGTCCAAGATGATGCATGATGAAGATCAGTAGTGGTCAGTTAGGTGGTCATTGTGGTGAAGACCCAGATGTTTGCCCTAAGAGACTGTTTGGATGATGTTTGGACATTGAAAGAATTCAAAAAGAACTATTAAAAAATAAAAAAGTAAACTTTAAGTTTACAGTGTTACCAACAAATGTAACTTTATTTTGATGTGGAGATGTTGAAAAATATTCAATTATAAATAAACGTTTTTGTATAAAATTGTTTTCAGTGTTACATGATTCATTTCTTACTTAAAGGCCCAATAAAAAGCTAATACTAGCATACAGTCTAAAAACAGGTCATCAGGAGCACATCAGGATCCCATTCACAGAATTCACAGAATTCACAGAATGCAATTATAGTTGAGGCATTATATGAACAATTTCCAATAGGATTTAAGTTTTTAGAAGAAGGCCGTATATCTGGTAGCCATACATCAAAGATACATATGAAGTTAGCATGGATTTCCAATAACACATATGCACCACTTCTAATAGCCTCTTATACAACTAAAATAAAGTCAACATGCCAAGACATAAACCCAATCTCTCAATCAGCCTAAAATTGCTTTAAAACTGCACCTTCTTCAAATTTCTGGTAGTAAATTGACCCATTCGTTTGGCCCTTTAGTTCAAAGGTCTGCTGAATGACATAGTACCGTGGGCACATTGCATAATCACCACTCTTACTCCAGTGTATGGAAGTATAGCTGCGAGTGCAATTGCGTACTTATTCAAATGATAAGGGATATTTATAACACAGAAAGAGAGCAGCCATTCAAGTATCATATTTTGGGAAAGACAAAACGATGTCCTTTGGTATTTCTCGGAGTTATATCATTAAAAACTATATGGTGTTATTTGGTCAGATTTTGTGGAAAATTTTACTTTAAAAGATAAGTAATACACTGGTGACATATTCCACAAGTTGCTCAACCCACAACTGTGAAGACAGGCACATTTCATGTGGCCTTACTGTATAGCCTGCCACAGAAATTGGGGGTCCTAATATAGATCTTTTCAATTATTATTCTACAGAGATCCTCATTTTGTTTTGTATGCATATACTTTACAGATACATTTTAGTTAAAAGAGCATGCAAAGGTGTAAATGTTACACCTGGTACTCAAGAAATTATGAAAATGCTTTGCATTTTTACATAAATTGCAGATAACACAAACTATCATGTTAACCCAATTATTGATCATTAAATAGACATGACACAATGAAACTAAATTTTCTTGCTGGTTTTATTTAATGAAAAAATAATCTACAATTTTAACAAGTAAATTTTCAACAGTTATCATTTGATGAATTGCCACCTGACTTTAGCATATTTTTAACTTAGCTATACAGACAGGTGAACTTAAAAACAATAACGCAAGGACCTTTGTACACTAACAAAATGCTTTAACTCTCCTATGGGATTTAAATATTTCCCCTAGGTTAAATCACTAGATACAAAGCATTCTACCTTTTAAACTTGCATGAAATAACCAATAATAAGAAACAATTCCCCACACACTATATTCAAACCCCTATCTCAAGCAACTACTCTAACGACCTCAAGCAAATCTATGTAGCATTAATATTATTATGAAGACAGTGGAAACCTGTGTTATTAGCACCTGAGTTGATGAAAAGACTGCAATTATGAACAGAAAGGTCTGAACACATGGCAATACTGTGTTACAGCATTTTAGACATTGGCTCAGTTGAATAATAAACATATAAATCATATACAAACTACTGGATATAACTTGATATAACAACCACTGTACAATATGTACGCAGTTGTAAAAATATATAAGTATATACAGATACACATACAGGTGCATATACAAGTACAAAATGTTGCTCTCAGCAGCTCTGCTCAGATAATAAACTGAAGATGAATGAAATACTCAAAAAAAAAAATATTATAGAAAAAAATACTAGGCAATAAAGAAAATATTGTTTTACAATATGAATATGGAATATTAATTGTGTATTGCCCCAATTCCTGACAAATAAGAGTAAATTGTATAGAATTGCCGAGGGCGACTGTAAACAACACAGGCATATTGCAATGTTTTATATAAACTAATCTCTCATCTCTGACAAGTACAAAACTAACAACGTTTGAAATGGATTTGCATTCTTTGTTTTAAAAATACCATTATTACAGTTACACATCACCTTGATGTGGAATATTCAGCCAATAGATCACAATCATACATTCTGTCAAACAGGGAAACATACAATTTATTCGATGTTCAATCTTATTGTGACATTTCACACATTTTAACACAGACACTTCATTTCTCAATTGACATTACCCTGAAAATTGCAGTTAAAATGACATAACATAAGTCTTATTCTCATTCCCCATATTCTGGGGACTTTTTCTCTTCTCACTTCCTTTCCTGTTTTCATTCTGAGTGACAGTAACGTCCATCTGATTGCTTAGAGTCCTGAGTGCTGACCGGTCAGGAATGTGCTGGACATGGTCAGTTTGAGCATGTGAGGATAACCTACGCTGCCTTTGTGAACGAGTATCATAATGGTGGAAGCCTGAAGCACCTTGTACGTCTCCAGCTGTGCTGTCATCCTGGTGGACTGTAAACCCTGACTGACTAGTGAAGGAAACCCCTGAATCAAAGACAGAGTCTGACAGTTTTAATGCTGCTGAGGGGGAGGCCACTGCCATGTGTTTACCAGCCTCTCTGCAGCTGGAGTGATTCACAGAATGTGAAGAGACCCCAGACTCAATAGAAACATCCGCCAGGGAAAAATTAGAACTGCTGGCCACGTCCTCGATGCTGAATGCGTAGGATGGAGACCCCCTGCGGCGAACTGTGACCCTGTCTGTGACCTCCCCACCCACCAAGATTGGCTGAAAGGCTCGGCTGGCTGTCCCTGACTGAGGTTCTGATGATGTTGAGGAGGGCGAAGAACTGCGTATGGCACTAAGGTCAGAGAAGTGGACAAAGCTGGACATAGCCTGATTGTCACTGGTACTGAATGTGTCTGGGCAGAATAAACTCATCAGGTCGGGGTCGTCTGGATCTGAAACACAAAATGGAGAGTTAAGAAACATATACTGGGAAGAGTAACAAAATTTAACTCCTGGTTCTTTGTAATACTTCACCATAAAACTGTCAGTGTCAAAAACATTTTACCATACTAAATTTTAAGGATTCACTGGCCCAAAGCAAAAACAGTGACTAGTAAATAAACAAAATTTTTAACTTGATGCCTTGGCTTCAATTTTACTTCCAATTGGCATGGGGCCAGTGTCAACACTGAATTCTCTTACTGTAATGTGAGCTTAAAATCAACACACTTCAGGTATATAATTTGTGGCTTCTAACACAAGGTTATAACAGACTGATGATAATATACTTAAACATTTTAAAGGTGAGTGGGTAAATTGTGTTTATGCTCAAGACCTGGTGTTACAGCAGTAGCTACAAAACTGCTGCACAAATTCAAGATAACCATGAGGTACTCTAAATACCTTCCACATCCATGTAAGAGTCCCCTTCATCTTCTTTATCTCCAAAGTACCCAGACATCCCAGACTCATTGAAATAGTCTAGCAGGCCTGACGCCTCCTCAAATGTTGGGGTTGCTGCCTTTTCTCTGTCAGCATTGATCGGAGCTTTGCACGGGCGGCTGCCAAGTAAAGAAAGCATACATGATACCTTGGTCACCTGTGCCATGTACAACTGCTATCATCTTTATGTAATAATGGGTGGATTAAGAAATCAATTTTCATATTTTAGATCTGACTAACTTAAAAATTTTGTATAAGAATTCAATAGAATTTTACATCATATTATTTCTTGGTACCGTCTCTGGCACACAAAAGTTTTGACTCAAAAGTTTTCATATCTTCCATGTGATGATAGAAGTGTCACACTCACCCCTGCACTCTGTGTTTGTTCCTAGAAGGTGACATGATGAGATCTTTGGTTGTCTTAAAGCGTATCCGGAGTTCCCTCCCAATAAACAAGTGTTCGTCCACTCCCAGCACAGCACAGAGCTCATCACACCCCATCATCTGCAAGAGAAGGCAAAGATTGAGAACAGATATGTAATGTAAGACAGCTAGTTTTAGCAACAGGCCCACCACTTTCCACTCACATGACGGCTAGAAAGTTTTTTTGTTTTTTGTTGGGTTTTTTTTTTTTTGCATTCCCTTTATTAATGGAATTTTTTTATTTCTTTAATGTGTTTAACCCTCTAAATAAAGTCCATCTGTACATGCTTTGCCTCTATGTTTAAACCTAGCATATCCCACACAGATACTAACCTCAAACTCACTGATTTTATAGAATTTCTCCTCAGTGTATCTCTGCTTTACAGCCTGAAGTTTGACTTCCCTGTGGTCTACCAAAGAGCCTTCCATGAAGCTGAAGGGGGAAAAAAATTACTTTCACCAAATTAACTAAAAACAACCAAGGAAATGTTTCTTGCAGACATGAGCCTAGGTTTCAAAACAAAAATCTCTGAACATTTATCAATGCACCACTCCCCCCCCCCTCCCCCCAGATCTTGACGAATCTCAGGAACCATCAGAATTGAATTAAAAAACATGGAACAAGGCTCATGTCTGTTTAAGTCAGATACTCCACTCCGATGCCAAGATAAAATTTTATGCCCTAAGCCCACACTAGCACAGTAAGTTTCAACCAAGTGTTCAGATAAGGCAAAAGAAAAGATGTGTGTCTGTATATACCTATATATTTACAACTGCATATATATATAATACAATGGTTGTATCAAATATACAGCACACTATTGCACCACTTTCCCACATACCAATAAGAGTGAGCCTAAAATTAATAGTAATTCATTTACCTATTCTTGACTGGTTAAATTATTCACCGTAATAACTTCTTAAAGAAGAATCAATGGAGGGTAAAGAACTCACCATTTTTCATGGATGTGAATGGTGCACTTGGTGAGATCTTCCACAGAGAAACCAGTGAACTCTGTCATCTTGCTGGGCCATGGTGTGTCTTGAGAGAAGACAAGATAAATGACTGTTACAAAGACTGGATAATCTTAAAGGAAATAACTACAACATTATGTGTGCCACAATTCAAAATATGTACATGGGAAGTTAGAAATGACACAAAATTTTATGGGCAACAAAGAATTAATAGATAAAAAAAATAAAATAAAATAATAATAATAATAATTGAGGAAAATATAATGACATGGCATTCAAAGGATATCACAACAGTCGTTAGATTGCAGAGGTAACATAAAAACTAATATTTAAATACAATTGACAGTATGGTGTAATTCATTTCCAGTATGAACCAGTCATGTTATTACCTAGTTTGTTAGCCACCCTGGCCAGTAGTACACAGCTGGCAGCCACCTCGGCCTTGGTATAGGAGGACAGATCAGTGTGGAGGAGGGTCAGTTCACAGATGTACTCGGCCAGACATTGGACACGCTGGTCAAGATCAACAATTCTGCCTAACATGCCCACCAGGTCGAAGATAGTGACCACCTGGAATGTGAGATACATAATAGTAAAACACATCAATATACTTCAGAATGTCCAGTGTTAGAACAAACCTATTGCAATAACCATAAGAACAATTGCTGTAAGTCAAGAGAATTTTCAAGTGTGATAGAAAAACATTCTATTGACGTGACATTCAACCACAGTTATTGAAATGGTTTATCATCTACGAGCAATATTTATTTAAGCTTTGTTTTACTGTTCATAATAGAAATAATAGCTTTCACACAGTAGGAAAAAGGCAAAAGAGAAAGTAAAGAGAAAAAAAAATCAGAGACATTTTTGTAATTTTTCAGGAGAGTAATGTTCATATTCTACTGGTCCAGATAGACAAACACTGGACTGAGGACAATGGTCATTTCAAGCACTGTTACAAAAGAAGAAAAATCCTGACAACCTACCCTGAGATCACCCTTCAGTGTGGCTAGAATTTCTCCCATCATCCTAACAACATCCTCATATTTGTAAGTATTGTCAGTCAGCCAAGCTGCCTCTCGTATTGTGATAATATCTTTACCCAGATATCTAGAATACGATGCACAAATATTAAAATGATTTTCAACTGGTTGATCAAGTAAAGATGATCAACAGTATTCACAAACCATTTGTACACATTTAATGGCTGCTCAAATAAACAAATGGTACAGACACTGTAATAAAATAAAGAAAATAATACCTGCCTTTCTTTTGAAACAAAACAAGAGCTATCAATTACATAGAAAAAAAATTAATTTCACGAACATATTAAACAAAAGCTCATCAGCTATTTAGCTGATATGCTATATCCCTGCACCATATTCGCACATCTACCAGCAACACACAGAAATAATAATAATAATTAAAAAAAAAAAAACAATACCATCCCTCCCATCAACCCCTTAATTCCACATCAAGACCTGTCCATTACCTTGAACACACCACCATAGCAGCCACCCCCAGTAACTGTAACTTGGACTTTGTCATCATGTGCCTGCTGATGAACCTGTCCACCACACTGATTGCCACATGGAGGGTCAGGCTACTGAAGTCCTTCATAGAAGCTACCTCCACTAGCCAATCTACCAGGATATATCTGGAAACAAATATTTACAGATCACAGTTCAGAGAAGAAGACAGGCTGTTTATAAAATGTTCATTATGTGATTCAATATGTTTTAGGCGTTTCCAATTATGAACTAGTTGGCACAATCCTTGATTTAAAATTTTCGAATTACTGTAAATTTTTTAGTCAATGTGACAGATAGATGTAATTTTTAACCAAGCCTACAGTATGCACAGAGTAGAAACAAAAGTAATGGGGTACTCTTAAAACTCACCTCATAGAGTTTGTTATATCATAGTTCCACCTGAAAATATCATGGATGTCGCTGGGTTTAGTAGATTGCACAAACTCCTTCATGAAACCTGCTGCTTGGGCTTCAGAGATACCTCCATACTTCCCATCTGCGTAAAGGTGGCACAAAGACAGCTGGGCCTCCAACTGACCTTTGCTGGCAATGTCACGGAGCATGCGAATACTTTTTAACTGACTGGCAACATCAAATGCCTGGAGTGTAGATGAGCAAAATTTCAGAAAACTGAATCAAATACAGTTTACATATATAAGCGAGCTAAGCATCTTTTTAAAATACTACATAAATTTTCCAGTAATATGAGTTGCCAGTCCACAATAAGCAATATCCACAAAAACAAATATTCAGACAATATTTTCTCTTGTTACTCATTATTACACATATACTCTATAACTAAGGATACCTAAAAATCTCATTACCTTTGTCTTCTGATTGCACTGCCACAGCTGATAGGCGGCCACAGGAGAGTGCTGACTGGCAGCCTTTTCTAGATAAACTTTGGCTTCCTGGGCATGTTCTTCATCATCGAACAACTGCAGTGTGTGTGCTAGGCACAACTGGACCTTACAGCTTGGATCCTGGAGAGAAATTATGCACAATTATAACATACTTCTTCCTGAAGCATTATACATCATCTAAATAATATTTTGTCGTCATATAATACTTTCAGATAAAAAATACTATCAATTGTAATTTGCAAAATTTTCAGTAGAGTTGACAAAAAGTACATGGTTTTATTACATGGTGTTTTCCTTTTGAAGAAAATATTCCTTGTCAATCATTAGGCAAACTTCTAAACATTTTACTAAAACTAACACGCTTCCCTGGTTATTCTCCATGTGAACATGTGCTTTGTTACCTTTTCACAAATGCTCTTCATGTTCTTGAAGACATATTCTTTGCAGCAAGCCCCAGCAGTTGACCAGGGGGGACGGATGAAAAGCCAAGTGAATGGAGAGATTTCTGGTGTCAGAGATTCAACTTGGCAAAACATTGCAGCAGCTTGTTCTCCATTGCTCGTAATGCGCTTCCCTTCAAAATCACCAGGAACTGCAATGAAAAAAATAAAATGGAAGTATTTTAATCCTTCATGGGAAAATGCACCTTTCCATTTTAAATTCTGAGATGACAGGGAATCATTTTTAAAAAAATCTAAAAAAGCAAGCACTGGCATAAGGCTCTGTATAGGGAGCCTGGGGGCATCAATACAACACTCAAGCATCTGAACATAAATTTTCATTTCTATACATTGCAGTATCAATGCTCATTTCTGAAAGTATATGAATCATACTTCTGGATATTTGTCTACATTGGTAATTAATTAAATACTTACACCCTTCATTGTAGAGGTAAGCAACTCCAAGTTTGATTAAAGCCTCTATATTGCCACTACTTGCTGACCTAAAATACATGAAAAAAAATGCTTAGGAGCTTTAGATAAATGTAAATAAGGTAACTAAAACTGCATTAATATTTCAATAATGCAAAGCAATATGTTATATGTTGTGAAATTTGAACTAAATATTTTTTCCAATCATTTTGCTTTTATTCATTAAGAACATAAGTAAATGGGCAGACAACATGAAATGTTTACATGAAATGATAGTAATGCATATATTTCACCTTTCAAAATGTTTCAAGTTTGGAATGGAGGGCCAAGTTTCATCAAAGTTGATACCAGCCCAGAGTGAGGTATGAGAGTAGATGAGATCACGGAAATAAGAATGAACCTGAAAAATAAATATGTAGTAGTCAAAAAACTGTAACATATATATTTGTCTAAGTGTGAAAATTGCAATGAAAAATGAAATTCAATAAACATTCAAGTATTACCATAGAAATTCTTTCAATGTTAAATGACATAAAACTCCCCATTAAAAAAAACATGCATCACTCACTGCTGCCATGTTGAGTAAGTCTTTAATATGGAGGCCTTGTAGAAGTAGTAGTAATATCTCCTCAGGAAGGGACCAGATGGTACAGTCACTCCTGGTGCGAGGTTTCTGACTAGCCATGTTCAGGGACATGGACCTCATATGTCTCTGTAGCACCAACTTGCACTTGCCAAATTCTTTCACCACTAAAAATTGAGATGGGATTTGTAATCATATATATGATGTTTGTGTTCAAATCTTGTTTATTTATTTATGTGATAAGAATATTTTAATTTTTCATTTCAATTTAAAATACATGTTTAAGTGCATAAACCCTTTATTATTTAACTTAACCGATGACAAATATTACTTTATGGATGAATTTTAACAAATTAGAAATAAATCCCAAATGTTGCCAAAAATCATCAAATTTTGTCACCCTGCCATCTGTCAACTATTGTGATACAGTTCTAAATGTTCACAGCCCGTAGGTCAGTGGGAGAATTGAATTTCAATAGTATTTGGGAAACCCTTGCTTAAATGGTTAAGATTTTTTTTTATTTTTCCAGATTGAAGCAGAGTTGTTCTCATAGTCCGACTGATGTCACACATCTTAGCAAATGGCAAGTCCACCAGAAATGGGGTAAAACAACTGAAAAAACATGATGGATTGCATTAGCTTCTATATTTGAGCTGTCAGGCGTTGTCCAGTGATATCATACTTCACAGTGCTTGATATGACCACTTGTGTCAGGGAGGACAAGATACTTACCTGGTTGCCCAGATACGACTGGAAGAATTGTGAGTGTCAGGACAGGAAATCAAATGTTGGTAAATAGTAGAAAAACTTTTTTTAACCCAAAGATATTCATTTAGTGTGAGTTTTTAAGGAAACTTTTTACATCTTTAACTGTTAATTTTGCCCAGAGAATATATTAATGAATTTATATACTAAAGCATGTGAGGGGCAGTTCATCACAAATCATTTCCTTTATTATTACATTAGTTTACCACTGTCACTATTTATACTCAATTCTTGACCTTTGTACATATTCAAAAATTCTACATTGGAAGAGGAAGATAATTATAAAACTAGTTAAGATCTGATGGATTTTACATTATTTTACCCACTCTTATTATTCTTGTTAGTGAAAGCAATTATTTTATACATATAGTTTTTTATCATTATTTTTTTAGAACCAAACCTGGACATCTTCCTTTCAAAATCAGATAAATGAGATAATTTGAACAAACAATTAATTAGTTAGTCTGACGTTTGCTTAATTAATGAGTCCACATGTTACAAAAACATTTAGATAAGAGTAAGAGATTTTCTCATTCAACAAGTGGATATAAACCTAGGTGGTTGTACCCGAGTGACCGTTTGAGTGGCGGTTGGTAACGGAAAATGAGTTGGAAAACTGTTCATGTTAAAGAATACTACAAATTAGACCACCTACTTCAAATAGGGCAAATCTATTTAAATATATCCATCTGATAATCCTTAAACGGCGAAGAACACGTAAGGGCTAAATAATTTCCAAAGTCAAATCAGCCGCCATAGATTAAGAGTAGACAAATGCCGCAATGGGAATTCCCTCATGTATTACTTGATAATAAAGTAGAAAATAATTGTCCCTACTGTTTTCCATTAAAATACATTTACCTACCCTTCATCCCTTCTCCTGAGTTATATTTGCTTCAAATTCATGAGAGAAAAGAACTAAATTGCAAAAACTACACGACGGTTGTACCTACTACACAGTTTACTATAAGCGGTTGTCCTCGAGATCTGATTGGCCACCTACAGCTCTCTAACCTGAACGAGACTGAGCGAGACCCAAGCCTTCCCAGGGATCTCAGAGAATTTCAAACTTTCAAACTTCAAACTTTTCTGATTGGTTGACTATCTCACATCCACGCTTCACTCTTCAAAACTGCGTAAGATAATAATCACAGGACATTAACTATTTGCATTTCCATTATAATTACCTGTTCATCAAATAACACTTTACTGAAAAATGAAAAGCTTGGTGCTAAATCATTGACTGCTACAATAATTAATTTGAAGTATTTTTTTCGATACAACAGACCTACTTAAAAGTGATTTTTT